GGGCCTACGCGAGGCACGACTTACCTACACCTTACGGGAGTTGTCACCTCCCTTCGGTGGGCGTATCCCCGCCGAGCTACCAGTCCACAGTACGAAAGCTAATCAGTTGCAATCGCAGAGGTGGACCAGACGAGGGCGTTTCTCGTTCGTTGTAGCATAGGGGGTACGCGCGGTAATACGCCTCTATCGGACCCGCACGCGAACCGGCATCATGGGGGGCTGAAGTCCCAAGCGCGGCTCGTCGTCGGTCGACTAGGACGCATCCCACACACCACGCGCACACCACTTTACGAACGCAAAAATAAAACTCACACGCACACATACGAAACAACACAACATAAACAACGCGACAACGCTCCTAGCCCCCTTGGTAGCCGCCCCATAACTTTCCGACGCGAAATCGAATAGGCGTCGCGCGCGAGACTTAGGATAAAACCGCGCGGACACAGGGTCTACTCATATCGACTCGAAATGCAAGCGTACGCAAGCAGTCGCAATGATGGCGTACTATGTAGTGCTCATAATCAAGCGGTCCCTCGTGGATCCGAGTACCGCTTATGACACTCAAGTGTCAGACTCTAAGTGTCGTGAGGGTCTAACCCTTCACGACATTGCACGGCTGAAGGAACAGCCGTGCAGCCGCCGCGGCACCTCTGGCTCTCGGCCTGAGTGTCTCGATAGGCAAATCAAATAGGCTCTGCGCGAGGGAAAACCCCTCCCCTGCAGAGCCTAGGGCTTGGGGTGTCCTGTACAAGGACCTCAAATCCCGGCCCAGGACTAAATGTCCGACTAAAAAAAATCATCAAACAGCAAGAACAAAAAATAGAAGGAGAGGTCTCCCCTAAGCCTCTCAGCCTCAACTTCTGAGTGGGATTTTATTATGGGGAGTCTTCAACCCATGCAAACATTCATCCCGAGTATACCCATGTATACATATATAAGGGTTAAGTATGTGATGATCACTTCTCACGCTCTCACTGGGGTCTCTCACAATAATACGTATATATGTGATCGTAGGCAACCAAATCCAGAATCTGATTCACAACACATACTTGCAATCACATCAACGAACCAAATCAACAACCCACACACTACACGGAGTCAACCCCAACCACCTTCGACACTCATACCCCTCGCTTTAGCCAAGCAAACCCCAAACCTCTTGTCCAACCAACCTTAATTAAACACTCAGTACCTTTGTTAAATGGTCATTCAATAAAAGTCCGGGTGAAACCTTAATAAAACAACGAAATCACCAGGGTTAAAGCCTTTTAGGTTGAGTGTGGAGGGTAAGTTGAAATTGAGTCGTAAACCGACGAATCGGCAATTGACCTGTTATCAGTGATAACGGAAAGTGATCCTCAAGGGATCAAGCTGGATCTAGCCCTGAACAAGGATGAAATGATCAAAAGGACCTGTAACACACGGCAGACCAATCCCCAAGCTAAGATCATAAGTGTATAGAGAATACAACTCCATAATATATCCTTACTCAAAATCTCTTTATAAGCTAAACTTAAGTCTACTTTTAAGTCAGTGCTTTAAGCTGAAGGTAGACCAACTACGGAAACTCCTCTATTCTTGGCGGGTCACCTGAATCGCCACCTGTCAAATTATAGTCTATCTCCTCTAAACTAAGAAAATTTTGACAGCGCTTCCCGTAGGAAAAGTGTCTTTCCAGAATTTATATAAGCCCAGATATGAGAGCATGAATAATCTCTAACTTATGAAAGTCAAATTATGTCTAACTTCATGAAATAGCAGAAATTTGGGCAGCACCCCCTTTAGAAAGGGAGGCTTCCCAGATTTGTACCAAGCCAGATATAAAGTCAGAAATAATCTTTAACTCTGGAAAGTCTAATTATGTCTAACTTCATAATTTTGTAGAAATTTCGGCAACACTCCCTCTATAAAAGTGCTATTCCAAAATTTATACAAGGCTAAGTTCAGATTTTAAAAGTAACTTTGGCTCCCCAAAGTTCAATTTTTGTCTAACTCCCTGAATTAGCAAAAATTTGGGCAGCACTCCCTTTAGAAAAGGAGACTTACACCTCGTAGAGGGGGGACGGTGAGGGGGAGACAGAGAGAGAGAAAGAAAAATGAATGTACAAAATGGGCATGAATCTTCCGCGAAGATTAAAAGTTTCATTCTTATTTTACATTAAGTCTCGGTCGCGCGCGAGTGAGACAGAGAGGCCAAGAGCAAGTTCACCTCGAGGGCCCGCACAGCTCGGCGAGAGCCTCTATCTCTTCCTGGGTCTCTCTCTCTCTCTCTCTCTCTCTCTCTCTCTCTCTCTCTCTCTCTCTCTCTCTCTCTCTCTCTCTCTCTCCACTTTTGATTATCGAAATACGAATAAACCTTATCATGAAACATTCATTCTCATTTCGAAGATACACCTCGTACAGGGGGGGGGGGAGGGGAGGGGAGAGAAAGATAAAAAAATGAATGGGCAAAATGAGAATGATTTTTTTG